AAACATTGATATCAAAACCACCAGAGAACTTGCCACCATCACCTGTCAGAAAAGGAATCGGATACAGCATCAGATCCACATACAAAGGGAAGAAAATTATGTAAGAGCATATTGTAATACTCTATAAGGCCCAAGGACTAACAATGCCTATAAATACACCAATATGGCACACAGAGTATCAAATGTCATACTTATCAGAAAATCCAACTTAAACTTGGCTGGAAATGAACAAAATCTAGAGCTACAGTGATGATATAGCTCGTTACATTTTGAGACCCATGAAGTTCATCTGCCTCTTCATTTTAAACCTATGAAACAATCAGTAAACTGACCAAATATCAAAATACATAATATATTCTTTCCATTCCTTCACAAGACAGATCATGAAATTCCTTAAACCAAATTTTCTGGTGATTGAAGGCATAAATTCACGGAATGAGGACAGATTTTTTTTTTAATTATATCTTTTAATATGCAGAGTTCACAAATCACGTCTCCAACTAGTATCTCTGGCACCAGATATAGTATTTATAAGAAACCTTCGTGTGATCTGGAAAAAATTTAACACATGAAAGATGCTGATCGGCCAACATCAAACTGCAAATCCAACTAGGTGAGAAAGCACACAATTAGAGAAACCACTATCAAGTAGTGATATCGGGCACCATCATAAGATTAAGATTGACACAGAAAATATGTTTGATCAACCTGGGTACTCTGCTGATGATAAACTGGGATTTCGCAAGATTTGGACAGTATTCATATGCAACAAGGAGGATAATATGATTGTCAAGGGGTTGCTCACCTCCCTACATGCCTTGTGATCAGAGTATTATCTAAGCCCCTAACGCTTCAAGGTTACAAGTTCCATAACTATTTTGCCATCCTACTAGCTACTTAATGTATTTATTGAAGAAAATAACCCAACCGGTAACAAAGAGAACGTGATCATGCAAAACCCAAAAGCATATTCAACGAATTAACACAGCACCGATTGTATCTGCAACGAACTTTTCATATGCATAACGCATAAAACAAAATTTGAAATGAAAAATGAAATTAGAGCCTCACCGGTTAACACTATTGCTTTGACGTCACTCCTATTCATCGCTTCCGTGTACTTCTCCTTCAACCCAGCAATAACTACAAGAACCCAACCAAGATGAAAAAAAAAATTCCAGTATACAAGCAGTTAAATTCTTTACCTCACCAGATCGAGAACATGTAAATCCTCAAGACTTGCCAACCTTGAAATTTTGACGAAAATCAACAGGTAAAACTCAAGAAACGAAAAGCAAGAGAGAAAGGACGGGGATCTACTCGAGGGGGCCAAAGCGTTAACGGGAGGGTTGCAGATGGTGATGACCGCCACCCCATCACTCCCAATCTCCATCGTCACCCGAACAGCCGCCATCGGATCGAGAAGAGGAGGAGAAGAGTCCTCCGACTTCACTTCTGGGGCTTCCGCCGACCGGATTGAAGGTCGAGCCGTAGACGCGATCGAGAGCGATCAACAAAGAGAAGCAAGAACGAGAGAGACCGAGAACGCGCCTCAAATGCGGGCGCCCGGCGATACTTATCGGGCCACCGGACGATGGTACTGTCCACCTCGAAAAAGAATTAATAAAGCTACATTTCTTACGTGGCATTGAGTTACTGGATCAAATCCTAAGCCACGTAGACGGTACTGGTTAGCGAAAGGTTCGCCTACAGAACGTAATGGGAACAAAGCATTTCTCACGTGGGGTAAGTCGCACGCCATAGCGCAATACGATGGCCCATGATCGATCTCGGCCGTGCAATGACATCTTCTGCACGTTTCAACGGTGGAGATGAGGAAGGGTCTACTCAGGAAGAACACGCAACACGAGGGGATCGGTAACCAATCAGCTGTCGGTGTCGAATAGCGTATACATTTTGAGTCATGCTGGATATGATGTGGCAGAAAATGATTGGATAAGGCCGTGCGTGGTGTTATGATTTGTTCGAAGTGTGCAGGAAGAAAACGACCCACTGATGTCAGGGATGAGCTTGCCAATTTCCGAGAAGACATGCTAACATTGGATAACATTTACGTATGAGATTGACTCAACCAAACATTTTGGATTCACTTAAGACTTCGACATGATTTTTCTTTTATAGTATGGATTATATCTTTGTAAAGTCACATGATGCTATTTCTTTTCATTTTATAAATTTAATATATAAAATATCCTTTTCTTTTATAATTTTCATTGGAAAATTACTATTCATAATTAAATATTGATTTTATTTAACAAATACTTTTTATATCATATGTATTAAAATTTCAACTTAAATGTTAAACTTAATTTACATGATTTTTAATTGTATATATATATATATATATAGCTGAAATCAAATTTAAAGGGTTAATTATAGAAATAACAGACTTTAAAGGGACATGTGTAGATGTAATTTTATCTTTTTTTTCCTTTGAAATGGGTAACAATAAAAAAAAAAACTTGTTTTTGAGATCTAAACAACAATTCATTGGATTAAATGGATGAAAGTAAATGTTTATATAAAATCTGAGAATCATTTCTTACTAATATGACAGATAAGAAGGCCAATTGTAATTAGCAATAGACGAGTATGTCCCTATAATTAGGGGTGATGGTGGAGTATAGGAGTGAGAATGTGAGAAAATAGAGAAAAAAAGGAAATTATAACCATACGTTCTCTTTGTAAACAAAAAAAAAAATACAAACATAGATAGTATGATATGATCAAGTAAAACAAGAAAGAAAAATTATTCCATTTTTTTCCTAATAACAAATGTGTTTATCTTAATAAATGATATCATGTACTATTTTTGTCTTACTTATTATGTAACGTTATAGTCTTTGATGTGTGAGATGAAATGAAGTACAGGGATTGGACCCATATGACAAGTGACTAAAGAGTCAAAAGCAACCCAATAATTAGTGCTTGAAAGGTGCAACTGAAAGATGGAATAAGAGTTCATATGTGAAATAAGATAGAAAAAAAAGACTAAGTTTCAAACTCATATAATTAAGCAAATAAAAGAATTTAAAATTATGAAAGAGTTACAAAAGAATTCATTTACAAAATAAGATAAAAAAGGCTAAGGATTAAACTCATATAACGGTGCTTGATTACCATAATGATGCCTTTGTATATTAAATTATTTTTTTTAATATTATATTTAATATATATTTTTAATATATTAAATATTTATTTAATGATCATATATTAAATTTATTTATATTTTAAATATATTAACCGATAGATAATATATTAACGGTCAACCATTATCCGTCATGTAATTATCATGTGAAAACTATCATAGAAAGAAAATATTAGATCATTCTCTACTCATTTACTCGCGTAAACAAAAGTTTAAATAGAACGTTCAAAATTGTCTACTCACTTATACGAACAAAGCGGCAAGAGAAGGGCATTCAGATAGTTATAGATTATTTTCTCTAAGACTAAGTATAAAAGTTAATCCTTAGTGCTCACTAGGGATGCATTTTCTAAGAAAAATTTACATCCATTAAGAAACATCGATCATTAACTTGAGTGTTTTTTCTTATATTGGAATTACTCGATAGCTCGACACTTCTACCTAAGAGTCAACGTGGATACGTCTGTACTCCACGGGTCTGGATCACATCGGATTGACTCACAGATTTTTCCTCATATTAATTATTTTAGCTGACAAAGATATTATTAAGATTCAAGATGTTGGATTAAATTATGTTATCACCTATCTTCTAAGAAAGAAAAAAAAAAAGTTGGTACAGATTATTATTAGCGAACACCTGAAATATCATGTGAAACTTCATAAGAAATGTTGACTGAATTCAGAAAGTGATCAATGTCTTCCTCATGTCCCTTGTCTTTGAAGAGGAGGTGGGTAAGAGATGATGCTTCAACAAGTCAATTTCTTGTGAAGGTTCATTGCCCTTTCAAGTGAAGTTTCTGAACCCACAATCAAGTGGAGTCAAAGTCCACTTTTGAATCTGGTTTGGTAATGTGTATGGTCGAGACCACAAAAGTGTCACATTGAATTTTTGTGATGTGGTCTTACAATAAGCATTTTCCATGGAATGTGATGCATGCTGGTTATTGAAAGCTCAGACAATGGTGCGCAAAGAAAGACTCATCCTCCAACCATATCTGAAAGCATCAGAGTAAACGAAGACTCGCACCGTGACATGGCAACGTCATACAATCTGAGTCACACTTTATGATGACGTGCCAGTGATTGACACACATGGTTGCAAACAAAAACATCATGAATAGAGATTAGAATGTCTTGTAGACATTCTAGACATTGATCCATAACCACTGATATCACCTGATCCCATTAGGTTGAATACATTAGTTCCATTCAAATCAAATTAGAACCAAAATCAATGGTTCGATTTTAGTTTCTATTTCTGAAAAATCGAAACGGATAGTTTTGGTTCCAATTTCAAATAGATTAAATACGATAAAAATAAATATAAATCACATATATAATTTATAATTGTTAAATTTTAGTTTATAGTTATGTAACGTGGGTTTGAATCTTGAGAGACATATTTAATTTTATTTTTTATGAACTTTTTTTAATATTATTATAGTCATTATAGTTATACATCTATTTGTTTACTTTTTCTAAAATTATATTTTTATATTTTTATATTGTTTTTAATTTAAAAATAAAAAATATATTTCAAATCGAACCGGAACAAGAATTGATGCTTCTTCCGGTTCAATTCGAGAACCGAAACCTGAGAGATTCAATTTTGGTTCCTAGTTTCATAAATAATAATAATAATAATAATAATAAATAAATAAATAATCATCATCATCATCATCATCACATATAGATGCCGCATGACTCCACAAGGTCAAGGAAGAATCGACCTAGTTATCTCATCCGGCCATTGTGATCGAGATTACACTAAATCGACGGACAAGATTCTACATCACGAAATGGGAAGCCAAAGACTTCGCCCCTTGTGCGCGAGGCGGAGGAGGCTGACACGAAAAATGGTGGCCTTCTCTTTCGTGGTGCGATCTAGGGTTTCGGCTCGGACGATTTTGATGGCGCTGAGGCCTTCGAAGAAGCAAATTACCGAATCGGAGGCATCTCCATCGATGCGGCAGGTCGCGTCGTTGAGGAGGCGCAGTTCTTGCACTCCAAGGTGCGGCCTTTTCTGCTTTATATGATTTTCTACAGGTTTCTTTCTGGGGATTGGGAAAGATTTTATTTTGACGCGTGCACGGCTGTTGTTGGTTGTGAAGATTACCGGTGAGTTCGCATTGCTTGGTGTCGATGCTGCCTCTCCACAGCGCGATTGCCTCCGCTCGTCTGCGTTCGGTTCTCGCCGCGGAGTCCCAACGATGGGGATTAGTTCCACAAGGTGTTCAGTTTCTCTGTACCTTGTTCCCAGATTCTTGAAGCCTCTTTAAATTTCTAACTGAAATGTTCGCATTAGATGCTAAATTTATTGGAGTTACGAAAATTTTTTCTAGCATTTGTTAAAACTTCGTAATAATCTAATGCTACTTTGACGTTGCATTATCCTTTGCTTATGTCTTTGGGAAGTACACCAGCAGAATGCTAAATCATACAGCGATTTCTTGTTTAGCGATGTGATTTGGCGGTTGATTCATAGCAATAATAATGAATGTCTTATAGAATGTGGTATAAACTTAACATTTTCTTCGATAGATAGAACAAGTTCACTAGTATGGAATTTTCTTCTCTCTTTTTTTTTCGCTCTTTTTTCTTGATGCTGATCAACCAATGTCTTGTGAGAGATGCTCCTGGTGCTATAAATTTTAATTCTACTTATGAAAATAATATGCTATTGTTTGTACTTCCATATAAAGATTCTATTTTTGCTCTAGTATTTTGTTTTTGTCACTAGTCCACATAAGAATGCAGCCATGAAAGGTTTATTTGATAGTTGTTTATCATCTCTTGTTATTTAAAACAATTATTTGCAGTTTAATCTTTCTTAACTTCTTTATCTACATGTCATCAGGCTGGCATATCTGAGCTTTTGCTGTTAGTGTTGATTAGTCGACTTATAAGTGAAATGGCCCAAGTTATTAATTGACTGACCATGCACTGCTTCAAGTACATTTTGCACTTTTCATGCTTAATTTTGTTAAAATCCTGATTTGGATCACAGATTTTCATGATTCTACGTTACTAGATATAAGTTTGTCAAATGTTTGACAAGCTGCTCAACATGTGGTGGCACTGCTTCCTTGTCTTGCTTCAATTTAACTGCTTGTCCGAAGGCTTAGAGTCCTTTTAGCTAGGTCCCAAAGTTTTGTCAAATCATGGGATCTGATCAAATGGAGATTCTATAGCTGTTATTCCTACTGTGGATGCTAGTGTTGCTGTTGACAGGGACTAGGAACTACATTTGGCTTCTGGCTTGTTAGGGTATCCCCTTTAGCAAAATTGATGGTGGATTTGATTCTGTCTATTGTTGAATTACTTTCATACGTGGTAGATAATTTGATAAGCCTAACAGTTATAGGTTGATTACTTTCTTGTTTATTATCATCATGAGATGCCTATTGATCCTGAAAATTTAGTCTTAATACCGGTGGATCATTACACTGCCCATTCAATTTCTCTTAGTATCAAACAAGCCTGGAATCATTCGAAGGAAAAAGGTTTCGCAAGTCTGGTTGTGAAGACTTCTTTTGGGAAAGTGAAACAGGGTTTTTAATTTTTGCAACTACTCAATGATTAGAGCACATTGTGGTTGTCTCAAAAATCTAAATTTTCTCTAGTGACACAAGTGTTGTGTACCAGATCATAAAGTAATCTATTCTGACATTTTTGCTTTTCACATGTTCACACAGTGTTTGATCAAATTACTGGCACTTACTCTTTTAAATTTTTGCAGGCATCTCAATGCCTTTATGACAGCAACTAGCGGTTATCTGCCTGGCATGTAAAGGCTTCCAGCAGGTGCGAGGTACATGACCTGTTGTGGTCTTCTGTGCAATTGAGAGAAATTCAGATACCATAAAACACAACCTACTGAAAAATTGTTATATTTCTTCTTGTATTTTTACTTCTGTTGATTTAATTTTTCCGTTTGCCAGCTCTGAGAACATTTTAGATAATGACCATGTAGAACTGGTCTGCTGGATTTCATGAAATGAATAGCAGCTGAAAGAATTTGGTCAGTCAAGTGCACTGACACCTTCATTTAGTTTTTCTGTGCACTTTTGCCAGCTCTGAGAACCCACTAGATAATGACCATGTAGAACTAATCTGCTGGATTTCATGATGGAAAGATGAAAGAATTTGGTAAGTCAAGTGCATTGACACCTTCATTTTGTAGAGACTGAAAATTGAGCATCATAAGCCTGATGGTCTTCATCAGAGATTGCATCTGGGGTTTTTATATAGTTGAAATGGCAGGATATTGAGCTATCATTCTATCACCTTCTTGGAGTTGTTTATGAAGCTCCATGGTTACCTGGAAGAGGTGGGCTTCTTTTTCTTGCATCGAGAAACTCATTATTTCTGTGTTTTAGCAAGATTTATTGCAGGTATGATTTCTCATACTTTCTGATCGAAATAAATAAGAAAATCTTGCATTTGCTAGTAAGGATGCATTGGCATAGCGTTCCATGTCATATTATACATGAAACAGCTCCATAAAATTCTTTCTGTGGAATTGTCATGTTTGTTCTTTTTTTCTATCGAATCCAATTAGTATTTGTGCATGATAATATAGTGCAATTGCAATTCATGATTATTCACATACAAAGTTGGACAAGATATATTGAGATTATCACTAAGGCATCTGAGGATGATGGATGAATAGGTAGAATGGGTTCCAATTAATTAATGTTTATCTTAATCATTTGGTGATTCAAAGGAGTGATGACAGTGAGGTCAAGTTGTTGACTGTATAAGAACTATTAGGTGAGAATTGTTGGTGCCTGAGAGTGTGCAATTCACAAGATAAAAAGAGGAGAAATCTGGATTGTGTTACAGTAAGGCTAAGTGAACTTATTGGAAATTACAGAACATTATTGAAACCAAATTGGTGTAATGAGCTGGTTCTGAATTTGATAGATACTTTAGTACTCCTTAACTTGGTTACATGTATGGATGACCTAAAGCATGAAATCCTTGCCTGAGGTGTGAGCTAGAGGAAGAAGAGACTGGCCCCACATCACAGATATCTCCATTTTTTATCCCAATTGGATTCCAACTATTTTGACTCTTTGATAGGTGGCTCAAGCAGCAGAACATTTGAAGATGAGGAAGTGGAGTGTCTCCAAGCAGAAGTAAATGAAGGTGCCCTTTGTGTGAGTGAAGCAGCACCCAAAGTTGGAGCCAACCACACATTGCCATCCAAACCCATACCTTAGATCAAACTCCTAGCACAAGAACCACCCAAAGTGAAAGAGTAATAACAGAAAGGGAATCATGATGCTGATGCCTGTAGGGATTTCCTTTTTCATATGGTTTTTAGACTTCAGAGAGGTAATGAAGAGGGAGATGGATACCTTCTTGATGTAGCAAGCCAGGTTGTTGCAGTCTAGGACATCAAAGAGGTCAAGAGCCTGAGAGGCAGAGGACATGGCTTGGAGCTGCATCTTCACAGGCATGTCTGTGTCCTGGATCATTGCCTTACCCTCCAACATTCTCACTCCCCTTCTTCCTCCCTCCCCTCCCACCAGCCAATTGCAGTATGGTCTTCCAAACTTGGCAGTCTCCAACTCACTTAATGCTGACTTGCTCAGCACAAAGCAGGGCACCAACAATCTTATATTTACATAATTGCATGAATAAATGTTGTTATATAAGAGAAATGCTTCACAATAACAGTGCCATAGGACTCATTCAACAGTTTTCATTGCATGAATCATTTTCTCTAGTTTGTTTCTAGTGAAGGCATTACAAGATGACACTGGCAGATTATGTTGGGGTACCAACATGTAACTTAGAGGGGGTCAAGTGATGCATCTGGATGCAAAGATTCTACACTTGAAGGGGAGATTGATGGTAGGCTGTAGCCTTCAATCTTCTTCCTTCTCCATCACTCTGCAAATTGTCCTACCAACTAGGAAGTCTTTTCCCCATGCACACATTGATAACTTTAGAAAGATGCACTCATGTCTATGCTCATTAACTTGGACAATTAAGACACTCAATGTCCTTTTGTAGGCTTGTTGGTTTGAATCCCTTGTGATACATGGCCTCTATTTTCTACTGTTCTCAGTGAAAGCTGCACTTCCAAGGCATTTATATTACACTAGACATTAAGATTTGTATTCAAGTTAGATTTCTCCTTGGCTTAGTCCCAACCCTATAAGAGGCATTTATATTACACTTCCAAGGCTTTAGTAAGTTCCTAGATGTATCTTGAACTAAAATGGAAGGGAGACTCAAGTTTACCACAAATCACTCTTGCATAACATGTGATTGATCACATGATAACATCTCCACCAAAGATCACAGGAACATAAACAAATTAAGTAAATAAAAATCATCATCAGGACTTTTTGAATCAATGCAATTCTCTAATTCCAGACTTCCAGGTTCTATCCTTGTCCTTGCTGACCTTTTTTACCTGCTAAAGATCACAAGATGGATTTCATGTTGAGGAATGAAACTTTAACCCACTCAGAATTACAGGTCCACTGAGACTATTAAATGTGTAAGATCTGTTTGTTGTGGTGGTGATTGTTGCATAGATTTCCTGCATTTAAAATGAGCTTGCAATTGCAGGTCTTATTTCTGACAGGTACCTTTGTCTCCTGTGGCCCCAAGTAAAGATGGCTACAGTTCCTCGTGTTTCACAATAGGTGGTGTGTCATGGTCAATGCCTCTTGCAGGAGTTCATCATTTGAAGGCAGTAGTTGACCTGTCTTCTTTGGGCACCTCATGCCTTCTCTCCAGCTTACTGATCTGCTAAATGTTAAAAGCCCTGCAATGTTAAAAGCCAGGTCAAGTTATACCTGTGAACTCACTACCGTTGAACTCACAAACAATGCATGTAACAGTGTTTAGTGATTAAAATACGCCAATAATTAAGATCTTTATACTTTCACTAGGTAGTAGTTGTGTCTTTTTCATCTCAAGCCTTTGGCTTGATGATTCCTGATACTTCTTCTGGTCTCCCAGTTAGCATAATGTTGCAAGAAAAATAAAAAGGACAGGTGAACCAACCAGATGCTTTTTGTGAATGAATGCATCTCTGGATCATAAGCTTCATCTCACATAAAAGTTCATGATGACACCAGAAAGGTATATCCTAAATAAGTGCATGCCTTTTGGAGCAGTTGGTCAACACTGCAAGATGACGATGAGAGGAAGTGTTCAGCTTAATCATAATATGAGAAGTTTTGCATACCAACCTCATCAAAATTTCCAAGAAAAAGCTTCACTCCACACGCTGCAAACTTGATTTGATCAAACTACCACCTGCATGTATGTGTTCTGCACTGCACAATGACCTCTTCATTAGCACTAACTGATGGCAAGAACAGCAGGAACATAATCAAATTAACAAGCATGAGTGCTTGGTCGGAGATTTCAGTTATAGTTCATGTAATTTAGTGATAGATTTCTGATCATTCTAGAATCATATCCACAATGCGTGATGTTCTAATGGTTACCTCTTCTCCACCAAAATGAAACTTGTAATCTGTTTGAGACTAATCATCGATCTTGCTTGCTTCCATTAAATTATATCTCCCTGCAAGAAATGATCAGAAGAAGCCAAAGGAGAGATGAATGAGAAATAAGAACACGAGGAAACAGAGGCGAAGCCATTATTCTGCCGACGCTTCTGATTCCCAGCCACTCTCGAGACAACCACCGCCACTTTCACGAGTCACCTACATCTCACCAAACAGCCAACTTCTATATATGGTGATGTGTCGCGGTTTTGCTGGTTGGTTATCTGAACAAAGTGGGTCCCATAGAAATGTAATCCACTGGATTGACTGTACTGTGACCGACAATGAACTTCAGATCCTTTCGCGTCTGAGCGTCTCTCCTACGCTTGTCGGTCCGTCTTTAGCCGCGAGCGGGGCTTTTGCCTTTCCACGGCACCCAAGCTTTCCTGTCTCTACTCTTACTCTGGTCTCGCGTGCGCGGCAAAGTTCGCATCTTTCGAGCGGAATTCCTGGTTTCCACAAAGATCAGTATTAGGAATTGCGAATCCGCGTTCACCTGATCTTAAACGTTCTTTTGCCCCTATGTTTCTCATGAAAGCTTAGATATTTGTGATCTTTCTCTAGTTTTTAAGGCTCGACTCCATGCGATTGATGATTTATAGGCGCCTCTGACGCCAATTCTGCTGCTTCGAGGAATTCACCCGGCAATTCTCAAGTTTCTTGGCGTTCCGAGTCAAAAGATTTCAGTAAAGTTTCTGTTCCATTTATCCTACGCTCGTCAATTTGTCAATTCCTGCTAAAAGTTCGAAACTTTGGCATCTCTCTGCAACTTGGATCAAAATCTAAGGTAGTCTTGCCGCATTCGTACAACTCGAAGTAATCCAGTAGAGGAATTCTTCTTGGACAAGATGATGCATTCCAAGTCTGAATCAGACGTTACCAGCTTAGCCCCATCGTCGCCGCCTCGGTCTCCAAAGAGACCGACTTATTACGTGCAGAGCCCGTCCCGGGACTCTCACGATGGTGACAAGTCGTCGTCCATGCATGCTACCCCTGTTTACAATAGCCCCATGGAGTCCCCCTCACACCCTTCCTTCGGGCGCCACTCGCGGACCTCGTCGGCGAGCCGGTTCTCCGGGCCCTTCCGGTCCTCGTCGGGCCGGAAGGGACACAGGAAGAGGGTGAACGATATGGGGTGGCCTGAGTGCAATGTCATACAGGAAGAAGGGTCTTACGATGATCTCGACGAGGACAAGGGGCTGTCGCGCCGTTGCCAGATCATTCTCGCGCTCCTCGGCTTCATCCTGCTGTTCACAGTCTTTTCTCTTATCATATGGGGCGCCGCACGGCCGTACAAGCCGGATGCCATTGTGAAGGTATACTCGATCGGCTTCATGATCGATGTAGTCTCTCTTGCTGCTTTACTATTTCTTATAGCATTTTGTATGCAAGGAAGGAGACTCAAATGTTTGAAGTTTGTTGTTTACAGTTCCATTTCTTCTTGTGCTTCCTAGAGTAACCTTTTAGGGACTACTTTGAAGCTATTGGGTAACTCATAGGAAGTGATGCTCCCATTTGCTTGAAATTAGCAAGGAAATGGAGGTCTCCCACCACAGTGACTACTCTGTTGTGCTACAGATCTAAGGATTTGTGATTTTTATGATTTGGTACTGATAGAGAATGAAGCTTATTTTGGAAGTTGAGTATTGAAGTATTTGTTACTCATGTCGAAAAAGGTCAGAGTCGATCGATAACTAGATGACTTATGAATTCCAAGGAGGATTAGCTCTTACAGGAACTGACTAGATCGTTTAGCTTGGTGCTTTGATAACTGGAATCTGATAAGACAAGCCTCAAATTGGTTGTCAAAGCGATTGATTATTATCAGTTCTAGTGGATGAGGAACACGATATGGTTTATATGAGAAATTCATGGTCTGGTTGAGGCTTTAATTATGGCCTTGGTTTTCTTCTTTATCGAGCTTCAAATTATTATGTTGGTGTTTGTATATATGATTTTGCTGGCAATAATTAGCTTGTATATCAGCAAGGGATTCTCTTTTATGGTCAGTTCTTTGTTTCCAATGCCTCATCGTCGTCTTCCGCTGCATGTATTAATTTTTTTGAGAAGTGTTTTTGTGCATCTTGTTTATAAAACTTTAATTTGAAGTATATTTCAAAATAATGTCCTTCAACAATAAAAATCAAATGCTATATGTGTTTGTAAAACTTTTCGTAGAAATAGCAACTTAGAGCCTGCTACATGGCGACATACTCCACTTAACGACTCTCTTGACACCAGAGTTTGTCGATGGATGATTTTTACGCCGGAGAGGGTACCGACAGCACCGGTGTCCCAACCAAGATGGTCACAGTGAACTGTTCATTGAAGATAAGTGTGTACAATACGGCTGCAATGTTTGGCATTCATGTAACTTCAAGCCCGATCAATCTCATGTTTTCAGAAATCACAATCGCTACCGGGGAGGCAAGTTTATATATCTGTTTTGTGCTTCAGAAGTAGTAAACTTAGAATTCTTCCAATTTCTCCATAGAAAAAAAGAAGGAAAAAAGAAAACTAGGACTGTGCTTGTTGCCTTTAATCCTATGATATGGCAATTCATTTTTTCCACTTGTTATCGGATGCCGACAGTCTGTTGCAATATTAGATTTTTCTTGTTATGGAAGTGACACACAGTATTACTTTCCATATCGACCTGCACATGCTCATCCTTGTTGCCGGCTCAGAATTGTTAGCCTTATTATGAATTGATGAATGGTTACATGTTTAATGATACTCTTAAGGCTGCTAAAACTGAATTGCAAAGTGTAGAATTTATTTGTTTTAAATACCTCATGCCGTGATGCTTTCGTGTCAACTGTCCTAGTTCAATATACCCTGTTATTAATATGCAATGGATAGCATCATAGAGCCCAATTCCTGTGGTTCATGGTTATGTATCTTTCTTCGCTGACACCTACCGACTAACAGATGCATGTATCAGATTGTAAGCCTTGATCATGTAGGAAACGATATGCTAAAAGGTTAGAA